GAGTGGCTTCTGGGTTTGAACCACCAGCCTTCTGGTTAGCAGTCAAATGCCTTAGGCACTATGCCACCAGAGCTCAGTGATAGTAATCCAATATTTAGAATGATCCAGATAAATTCCACATGCTGAGCAACCTAGTCAATACTCTGGATTTTTGACAGTGGCCCCTAAGGTAGGAGCAGACGGGGCTCCATTGGCTCAAATGGGCATTTCTATGACGATTTACTCATGAAGAATGTGGGTTGGATGACCAAGGCTTTATCGCGACAGGATCAGAGAATGCCAAGACCATTTTTAAAGCATGAAAAGCAATTTAGTGTATAACCATAACAGCATATTTCAAGTGCAGCAACAGCATCTGTTTTGGGGAGGGGAAGATGAAACACCTTACAATTTGGCTCAGGTGCGTGAGCATGTGTGGGCTTCCTTTCTTGCCAACCACTGGCACATGCACGCCCTTACTCATCACGGTAATAAAGTACCCAACACAGCGGGCACCTCACCAACAATAAACCCCACAACTCAAGAACTGCCCATTTCCCAACGCTCTGTTCTTCCTGCACAGAGGAAATCTCCAGCTCTTCCTGTAGTGAGTAAGGACTCTGACAACCGCAAAAGGGCAAAGTTCCAACATAACCAGCACCCACTGAAACGTCTGCCTTTATCAGACTTTAAAGTAACATAATACACCTCAGAAAAACCTTTTCCCATCAAGCAAAGCACTGCTAGGGATGAAACTAAGGGTGTGCTCCCAGATGCAGCCTGCCAGCTCTGACTCAGGAGCACATTGGGAATCCCCCAAAATTCTCTCTGAAGGGTGAAACATAAGAAGGTTCTGTCCCAAAGTGATAGCAAGAATAGCCTGGCTGCTCCTTGTGGACAGCACCATCCGGCCAGCCTCATGCAGGCCTGGGGCTGGCAGCCCATGTTGTCAGTGGCACCCTACACACACACACACACATACACACACACACACACACCCCTCCTCCACCCTCTCTCCATCTCCAGCCACACCTGCCCACAGATGCCTATGTCTGCACACCCCAAGGAGGCCTCTGGCTCCCTCAGGTGACAGGGCTGTGTGCTGAGCGGACTCACAGCTGTCAGAGCTATCAAATAGAGGTCATTCTGTCTCTCACCCTCACACCTCCCTTGCAGTTCACTTCTCTGCTTCCAGTTCTGGTAGATGTACCTCAAGGCCTCTAGAGCTTAATTCTAGGGTCACCTGTCCTCTGTTCTCCATAGCTTTTCAGAATGAGGGCATTCCCAGACTTGTGCCAAACTCTGCTTTCAACACATCTTAGCCAGTGAGGAGGGTCTGTTGCGGGCAGGGGCAGCAAGGAGTGCTAGACGGGGCTGCCACCACCCCTGCCCTTCCACCCCAACAAAAGAAACAAACTGTCCTGGCTTCCTCCAAAGGCTCACCAGCCCTATCACTTCAAAGGAGCATTTCTCACAAATGTTCTTCGGAACACCACCAACCAGTCTCAACAACGTTCTCCACGGGACCACTCTTGCCCCTCCCCACCCCCACTCTCTTCCCAAGACCCTCAGTTCCAACTCATTCCCAGGAGCAGAAAACAATACATGGTCTCCTCCCTCATCACCACTCCTGCCTCAGCCACAGAGCTCCCCCAGCCTCCTGGCCTGGCTTTTAAATGCAAAGAGCTCATTCCTCTCCCAAACCAGCCAGCGTCTTTCTCCAGCTCCTTCCGCAGGTGTCTGAATGTCAAACCACTATGCTTTCAATACCTGGCTGAGGCAGGCCCAGGGAGCTAGAGGGTTTTCGGAGGGTGTATAATTAGCTGATCAGTATTATGTTACCCTGTTCATAACTGAATAACCATTTTAATACAGATGGCACACACTGGGATAATTTCTGGGGTCGCCTCGCAGTACGTTACTGCACGAGTGTGGCAGAGGGAATCTTCTTTAGCCAAGGTACATTCTACCAGCTAATTTTACCTGCTGTTTTCAGGATGATTTGGGATAATTCCATATCATTTGCAAAATATTAAAAAAAAAAAGTCTTTTGATATGTGATGCCAGTTTCAGAAAAAAAAAGCACCATCTGAATTATCAGTTGCCCTGATAATGAGCCTACAAAGAGTGCAAAGAATAACAAAGGTATGAAACCTTTAGTCCTACTCTTTCTCATTTGGGGTTTGCCATAGAATCAGGGATAGGGATTGAAAGGCTGGACAAGGTTGCCTGGGACTTGCTCTTGGCTGGGGCATGACTTGTGAAGGGTCTCCGGGACGTCCAGTTGGACAGCTCTGCGATCCTGAAGCCAGCCTGGGATCCTGGAATCTAGACCCACCACAAATAGACACACATGCACACTGGGCTGGGGTGCACATGCATGGGAGTGGTTTTGGGGTTGGGAGAGTTATCTGGCCTGTTCTACTCATATGTTGAGGCAACCCTGGCCTCTGTCTCCCTGAGCCTGTCATGTGTACAAAGACTTCAGCCTGGAAATAGGTACACTAAGCAGCTGGGGGCATCTCTCAAGGTCCAGCCCTGGGCTCTGGAGTCCTCTGTTCCTGCCTGGTGACCCACTCCTTGCCTAGCTCCTCCACTTCCCTCGTCAACTGCTGGTTGGTGGTTGGCACTTGCTCCACAGGCCTGGATACCAATGCCTACAGGCCGGAAACTTGTGTGGAAGCTGTCTAGCACGGCCTGGTCTCTGAGGAGGCAGGCTTTGTGGGATTAGCCAGGAGGGCAGGGGAGCCAGGACAGGCAGCTGCCCCTAGGGAAGGGAGCAGGCCTGTAAAAAGGGAGGTCTATTCGGAGGTGATGAATAGACACTGGTCATTTTAAAGGCTTCTGAGGCTGTGGGCTGTGATTGTCTCTAGATACCGAGGCTCATAATCTTGGAGTCTTAATTACCACCAACACTTGGATTCATTTCCAGGACGCTGGGGGAGAAACCTGGCAGGGAGCACCCAGCCCTGGACCAGACAGCCCTGTCTATCTCTCTCTCTCTGCCTCCCAGGTCCCCTTTCCCTACCCAAAGGTCTTTAGGCTTAGATCAGTCAGGAAGGGGAGAGGCTGGAGAAAGAGCTAAGACGCGGAGGGGGGAGATGCCCCTACGGTTAGGAGAGGGAGTTGGAGTCCTGCCCTGCAGGCAGGGTGGCTTGCTCACCTGTTGATGGAAGAGACGCTGGGCACCGTGTCATTGTCGCAGATGCCCTCAGCCAGGAGCCGGTCTCGGATCTCCCAGGCGAACATAGTCGGGTTCTGTCGCTTGTACTCAGCAATCTTGTCCACCACTTTGGGCGTTGCCACTTTGGGCTTGGAGCCGCCTATCACTCCCGGCTTGATGCTGCCGGTCTCGTAGTACCTGCGCTCGAGAAGGCCGGCGGGTCAGCGAGAGGCGGCGGCAGCAGGGGCTGCTGGCTGCAGGCTCCGAGGTGCTGAGCCGCTCTCCAGCCGGAGGCAGCGGCGCCCAGGGAGAAGTTCCAGCGTGGTTGAACTAGCTTCCAGAGGGCGCTTGGCTGGGGCGAGGGCCACGGTGGAGGGCGTGGGGGAGGGAGAGCAGGACGCTCCCTTCTTAGAGGCGGTCACACCGCGGACTGCGTGCATGCCAGCCGAATAAGCAACTGGGAGGGAAAGCCTGGACGTTCATTTGGGAAGAGCGGGAGGAACAGCGGGGCCAAGGCTCTGGCCACCACAGGCCAAGACACCACCTCGGCCCTTTGCCATTAAGCGCAGAGCGCCTTTGGGAGCCAGGCTCCTCCTTCGGCCTTTCAAACGCTGCTTTTTCTCCTTTTGGGGGACCTGTTTATGCTACCCACCCCATTCATCTAAGCCCCAGTCTGCATTAACTCGGCTAGAAGAAACATCCCACCCCCTCCTTTGTGAGGTGAGGAATCCGGCCACCTCCAAGAGAGGGCCCTGGGGCTTGGCTACCCAGTACCACCCTCATTCCTGGGACCTTGGCCACCACCTAAGCGTCCTTTCCAAAAGGAGCAAGCTCTCCAATTCCCCTCGAGTCGAGGCTCTCTCTCCCGCTTGACGTCCTAAGCATTCGGCAGAGTCCTGGGCCCGGAGACCCAGGGCTGGCCAGGGGAGGAGGCAGGGCGTCGCCCGGAGCCATCTGAGGCCCTCACCTGCCCAGGATTTTGCTGACACAGCCGTGGCTGACCCGCAACTGCCGGGAGATGTCGCAGGGCCGCACACCCTGGTGGGCGAGCTCCACGATGCGCTGCCTCACCACGTCGGGCAGGGGCCGGCCGTTCACAAACACCCCCCCGAGCTGGTTCACACCCCCGTGCCCTGCTGGGGAGAGACAAGAAAAAAAACACAACACCCCACACACAGCAGGGACCGGCCATTAGTCAGGGTCCGCGGCCCCGGACGTGCGAAGGGAGCGGGCTGGGCGGAGGGGCATGGTCCTGGACTCGCGGAGAGGGGTGGCCCACGGACCACAGGGGGAGGGTTGGGGATTAGAACCGCTGGGGGGTAGAGACGCGGGAGCGCAGACGCTGAGCCCAGGGCTGGCAAAAAAAACGCGGCTCTTAAACCACAGCGATGCAAGGCAGAAAATGAGGAAAGCAGTGGAGGAGCTCGGCGGGGGGGAAAAGAAAAAAAAAAAAAGACAGAAAAAGCGGGGGAAAGGTGGGGGATTGGGAAAGGGCAAGGGGGGGTTCGTGCTAGCGGGGAAGAATGCAGGAAAGCTGGTAGGAGAGGGGCCGGGCAGAGGACGAGGCAGAAGAGCGGGATCTCCGCCTGCGCCGCAGGCTGGGAGGGCTTGTCTGTGCGTTCGAGGTCTTGGAGGCTGAGGATTTGGGGGAATCTTGATCAAGTACTCTCTTCAAAGGGCAGTCCTGGCATACAGAAAAGCTAAGTCCTTTTGGTCCCTAAGTATTTCTTTATGTTTATTTTTAATAGGAGTTTTCCTACCTCTTTCTCTGTTTTTCTTTCTCTCTGACCGTCTCTGACCGTGAGTTTTTCTATCCTTATTTATATGTCTATATATACATATAGTGTGTGTGTGTGTGTGTGTGTGTCCTTAGATGTTTGGGGACCATATTTCTCCCTCGCCTCCTGAGTCTCTAAAGTTCAAAGAAAATCAGGTGGAGGGAGGAAGGCAGAGGAGGCAGGCACCCTGGAGTCTGCTGCCCTCAGAGACAGGAAGGTGGCCGAGCGCGAAGCGGCGCCAGCAGCAGCCGAGAGCTCTGGCCGCTCCGGCTCCGCGGCCCGCCCGCTGTCGCGCGATGCCGAACTTAGGGCCTACCACCTCGCCCAGGTCTCTTGGTCCTGGCGGCCCCGCGGGCTGAGGGCTCAGGGGCACTCTGTGCAGCCAGTCCGAGCCAGCTCTTCCGCCGCGGCAGCCGCGCAGGCAACCGAGCTCCGAGGGCGCTGACTCGCCTCGCCAAGCCAAGAGGAAAGCGCAGGGTTTCCAGCCCGGCTGCAGCGCGGGCTCCCCACATCGGCCAGGACACTGGGTGCCGGACCTGAGGGCCCTGCCCCTTGCCAGGTCCAACCTGGCCTGCACCAGTCTAGAAATCCTGCGCCCTGAGCCATCAACCATCAACCCGCGGTGGGTCATAAGGAGCAATGTGAAAGCAGAGACTTCTAGCGGCCGAGAGGCCCGAGCGGGCCAGCAACCTGCAGCCTCTGCCCAGCTAACCTCAGGCTACGTTCGGAGAACGCGGGCCATCTGTGCTCCCTTCATTTCCCTACGGTCCCCTTTTGGGGAACCAAGACCCAGAGTGGGTGAATCCCCTGGGGAGTTGGCCTCTGATCGGGCCGCTGGGGGAAGAAGGAACCTCTCCTTTTACCCCTCTTGCCTCCCTACCTCCTCTAGCCCCGCTCCTCACCCTTCCCTCCCTCCAAACCCCGACCATCAATAATTTAGGCCCCGGGAGAACTCGCGTTACCGGTATGAAAAGGCGGCAGCTGCGGGCAGATTAAAGATGAATAATTCAGCCTCCCCGGGCTCCGGGCCCGGCCCTTCGGCCCCAATCTAAAGGTGGAGATGGAAAAGGGGCACGGCGGGGGTCCAGGGTTGGGCCCCCCGAGCCCGCGCTGAGCCGGGCCTGGAATGCGCCACCGCTGCGGGCGCCCACTCGCTCTGCGGCTCTCGCCCGCTAGCCTGTCAGCCCGCCGGCCGGCGCGCGGCTCTCTCCCTCTTCTGATCCCTTTCAGCTTACCTCGCTTCCCTTTGGGTTTCAAAGTGGTACCCAGTGGGCGGCGGGGCTCGGTGCAGTCCCCGTAAGATGGGCAAGAGAGGAGAGCGCGAGCAAGGGCGGCCCGGCCGGGAGGCAGGCAGGCAGGGCGCAGACGACTGCGGACTCGGGTCCTCTCTCTCCGAAAAGGAGCGAGCCTTTCCGGCTCAGCTCGCGGAGCCCCGCGGCGGCCCCAGGCCCCGGTTTGGGTTCCCCATGCTTAGAGATTATTTAGGGAAAACCTTTATTCCAGGAGTATTTTTTAAAGCTCCCCTTGTAAAGCTAAATTTATGCTTAGGGGAAAAAAAAACGCACACACAAAAAAACACAACTCTCCCTCCTCCATGCTCTCCTCTGAAGCACAGACCCAAACCAGATCTAAAAAGTTTCCCTGTGAAAAGTTACAAATTATCCCTAATTATTAAACTACAGATAGGGAGGCGCTTTCTATGTAGAATCTTATTTATCTTTTTTTAAAAAAAAGCCTGCAAAAAAATCTCAGATTATTTTTTTCTGCGCTAATACAAATGACATGTATTAAATGAATTGTATTCAAACAATTCCCTCCTTTTCCTATTTTTCCTCATCTGTCTGCAAAATCGTTTCCATTTTCTTCCTGGGATTTCCTTCCCCTTCTTTGGATCTCCCTTTCTCCCAGCTTTGGCATTTGCCTTCCTTTTGTTCTTCTCCCTCGTTTTCTCCCTCTCTGTGACCCCCCTGGCCAGGTCGCTGGCTGCATCGCCCTTGCCAGGGAGTGGGAGCCTGGCCAGAAGCCTCCAGAACTAGGGGCAGAGCTCTGCTCTTCAAGGGCCGCCCAGGAAGGTTCTTTGCTTGCCCTCACGTTGACTTCAATTTCTCCTGCGAGCCCCGCTTTGTTTTTAGAACATCTCTCTGGGAAAGGCGGGGGAAGATGACCACCACCACGAAGTCCTGCCAACTCAGATCCCAACTCAAGGAGAGAAGAGGAAGGAGAGAGAACAGAATAACCCGCAAGGAAGGGGGCACTTCAAGTCAGTCTGGAAGGAGCTCGGCCTGGGCTTGGCCAGTAGGGCACTGAGCTGCTGGGAGCTGAGAGTCATCAGGGGGCACCCCACCCCCACACTCCGCAACCAGTTTGTCCTGACAGTGCGACTGCCCACACTGGGAGTCTTCTCCCGGACACCTACTACTCTAAGTTTGAGAACGGTTCAGAGGAGGCGAGGGAGAAAAGGGAGGCAGAGACAGCGTGAGAGAACCGAGAGAAAACAACACAAAACACAACCCCGGAAACTGCCTGCCCAGGAGTGTCCCAGCCCAGGGCAAGAGGGCCACCAGGGAGTGGGGCAGTGGGACTCAGAACCTGCGGAGACCTGAGGAGCAGGTGGAAGGAGGGAAGGCAGGTGCTAGGCATCAGGGAAGGTGAGGAGGCAGGCAGAGGATGAGTCTGGGTGACAGGCAGAGGGAAAGGAAGCTGGAGGCGTGAGAATCACCGGGCCAAGGGAAAAAGGAAGGAGGAAATGGGGGACCGAGAGGAGCCAGCGTGGCCTCCGAGATGGGGCCTGAGCGCAGGGAGCTGGGGTCGCCTCGGGACGGAAGTAGGTTGGGACGAAGAGCCCCGAGCCGGACAGGAGCCGGGCGCCGGTACTCACGGTGCATCGCGGAGAAGGGGTCTGCTTTGCAGTGCATATCCATGGGGAGACAGAGGAGCGGGAGCAGCGTGGCCGCCGCCGCCGTGTCGCCTCGAAAACTCAACTTCAGGACTTGAGGAGAAAAGGGAGGGACGGTGGGGGGAGGTGAGCGGGCGCCCGGCTGCAACAAGGCGCGCCGGGGCGGGGGGCGCCGCGCTGCGCTCCCCTCGGGGACTCCTCCGGGACGCCCCGGCTGGCAGCCGCTGCGGCCGCAACTTCCCACCGTCGGGGCGCAGGCTAGGAGGTCAGCAGAGCGGCCCGGGGGCGGCGGGCC